ATCCTACCCTCTGCCTCCCCCTCCTTTCCCCACTGGGACACCTGCTCCCCCTCAGCCAGCATCAGATCCTCAGACTGGAGGATTCTTTAGCAACGTCCTCCCAGAACCAACTCCTCCTGTGTATCAGCAGCTGGTTCCACTCATGGTCTCAGCACCAGCTCACCTCTACAGTCAGCCAGGGACAGCTGAGACACCCAGAGGTAGTGACAGGTCTCATTGAAGTTTTATTGATAAAGATGTTTAAAAGTGTTGGACTCATCACTCTGCTCTCAGCTTCCTTGTATTTCACCTTTGTATAAATGTGGTGTGAAGCTTTGCTGAACAGTAAACTTAGTCGCTGCCAATGAAACATAATTCCAAGAATAACGCAGGAGATCAAAGTCCAGCTATGTATGAATGTAGTTTTATGCAGTTTTATCTTCTCCCCCCACTGATCACTTCTTCCACCGAGTGGATAGATCATAGCATTCCAGCTTTTCTCATCATCTGTTGTGTGTTTTGTGTGTTTCAAGCGTAATGTGCTCGGGATTCCTCAAAACATGATCCAGTACCTGCATCCTGCTGGAGAACTGTACGTAAAACACACAAACACACCAGTGAACACAGCTGCTGAGCATCTGTATCTTCATAAACTCTGTTATCTCGTATCCGTCTCTGCATGTGTGTAGGCACAGTGTTCCAGTCTGGGATTTTGCCACTCCTGGTTCCCCATCCAACACCTCCACTCCAAAGTAAGTTTCTGTGGTGCTTTGTGTCAGTTATCTCCAGATATCAGTCTTTCATCTGCAGATGTTTGCTTGAATTATTGTAATCAGCTTCCTTTAATGGTGCCTCCTGACATTCAGTTTCACAGCTTTACTCATGTTTTTAAACTACTTTGCTCACAGCTGTACACAATGCTAACATGTGCTCTGACTCTGTGTTTTATTCCTGTAGAAAAAGGAAATGTGAAGCCCAACAGGATGAGGACCGGCTGTACATAAAGAAGCCACCAAACACCTTCATGATTTACCTGAAGGAGCAGAGGCCAAAGGTGACGGCGGAACTGAACATAACTGGCAGTGCAGCTTTAAATGCAGTTGTGGCAAAGAGGGTAAGTGTGTAACTCTGCATATATTTATGTATCTGTTAATGCTTTAAGCTCATGTTTGTGCATGTGTGCCAGCTGCCCTGTAGTAACAGTGTAGCTGAGTATTTATCTATGCTGACAGTGGGTTCTCATGATTGTCTGTCTTCAGTGGAGGTCTCTCTCAAAAGAACAACAAGCAAAATATTTTGATCAGGCTGAAAGCGAGAGATGCCGTCACGCCACAGAGCATCCAGACTGGTCCACCAAAGAAAACTACGTATGTCCAAAGTGCCAACATGCAGTTCATACATGTGCCCATCACTGTACTGAATTATGAAACAACCAGTGCACAGAGTTTGGATCAACTGATGAAAATTCTCATATTTTTGTTTTTAGGGCAAAAAGAGGAAGAGAACACGGAATCGCACCTCGAGCACAGGTGAGAGGAGATTTCTGGGAATTACAACATTTTTTAAATGTGAAATGTGATGAAAAGAAGACAGAAATCTGTTAACAAAAGAAGACTTACTGTGTTTTTGTTTGTGTTTGTTTGTGCAGCATCTGAACCTAAACAGGAAGATCAACAGGCCAAGAGGCTTTGTGTGACGCCAGCTCAGACACAACCATCTTCTTCCTATTCAGTTGCGAAGGAGCCTCTTGAGCAGCCACAGAGACAGCCAGCTGTT